GGGGGGGGGGGGGGGGGGTGAAAAATCTGAGTTTGATCCGATTTAATCCGAATAATTCATCAGAAATTTTTTTTTGTTGTAAAAATAAGTATATTCCACAACGGTTACAGTTCCAAAATCTTGTCAGCAATAAAATTCTATTTAAACAAATATTATCGACTGAATAAACCTCATAAAACACAAAACCATTAATTTTCTTCCTTGCGGTGTATTTCTACTGTCTAAAATGGAAATGCTGTGACGATTTTTGAAAAATACATTGTGAACCTTAACTCATCAGTATTGGTTTCCTCGATTCTTTACTTACCAAGACTTAATAATTCCAAGTTTCTCACTCAAAAACACTAAAGGTATGTTAAAAGTACTTTTTTGTCATTTTAGTGCTGAATTAGGTTGTTAATGTATAGCAAAATTAATTTATTTGCCGTCGACGGTATCTCTAACCCGTGGTTTATTTCAGAAGAAGTTATATTGTTAAAGTACACCCTCAAAATGTATATATTCTTCGTCTATATCCATCTATCATTGTGGTAACAGAATTACGACCAGCTTTTAATAATTTTCTGTAAGAATTTATTTATTGATTGATTTTAAAGCAGCTGAACTTCCCTCCGGTTGTGCACGTGTTCTGAATGAGCTCATGTGATGATGTTCCTATCACAATTACCATCTTCCACCTGCTCCGGGATGACATTCCTTCAGAATAGAATACTGTGCCTCCCCAATTTATCTATTATTGTAATTCATTTTCCTTTTTGACTCACTTATTTGATATGACTAATTTAACTTAATAATATTTTTAAAAATTTTTTTTTACTTTCAATTTAACCTTACTAATGCATACCAGCCAACTTTTACGCATTTGGCGTAAAATTTTATTTTAATATTTAAAGTGGTAGTAAATATATACTATTTTTTCTTTTATTAACTTAATTTTTAAATGATTTTGTTCACCACTATTTTTTAAAAAATTACGCATATAGATAAGTATGTGTTACTATCATGGTTGTTCTGCCTTGTAAATAGCTGTACATATTTCTTTTATTTTATTCTCGCTTATTGTATTATCTCTCTTTTATTATCGTATTATTGTATTGTATTAACCCCATGTATCCAACTGAGATTTATATTACCACACCCCCCCCCCTGCTTTTGAGCTTAGGCTCACCATTTAAATTTTATTCACTGCGACGAATGAGTTAGGGCCCCTTCGGGGCCGACACTTAGGTAAAGACTTGACATAGGCATAGGCATGGTTGTTCTGCTAAAGATATTTAAAATACAACGTATTTTTTAGATTACAATTGAAATTTTAATCCCATTTTACTACCTCTGGGAAAAATCATAATGGAAAGGATCAAAGGTTGGCAGGTATGCTAATGCCATATGTGTTTTCGTTGTCTGACTTTATGTTGGTGTTGTCCTGTCCTTCTTTTTTCACTTTTAATTAACAACGAACATTATCACCATTTCTAAAATCTTCAAGCATGTTCTTTCAAATTGTGCCAAATGTTTTGCCATATAAAATCTTCGAAACTATTTATCTCTAAAAGACTGTTCTAAAAGACTGTAAAAGGCAATTCTGCCAACTTTCAACGCTTCCCGTAAAAATTTATTCTAGTGGTAACTAAGTTCATGTTTTAATGTATTATTTTTTATTTAGTTGAATGGAATAGAATCTGTATTCAACATCAGTCTAAATCTAGATATTTCGTGGTGAAGTTTTTAACATTTCTGCAAAACTGTTGAAAATTCTGAAAGCTTTGGTTTTTAAATGTCTACCACTCTATAAAATATTTCGCAAAAAGCATAGCAGTTGGCAGACCTGGGTTAGTATAGAAGTATTTCCCTCCCCTGTACTTCGTTTCTCTGGAGGGCTTGCGCATAGACAAATTAATTGCGTATGAACTTTTAAATCATTTATAGCTAGTTGTACTGAAAATAAGTTTAAATGAATAAAAAATAATACATTAACTTATCTACCACTGAAATAAATTTTTACATAAAGCGTAGATAATTGACTTGAAGCGTAGATAACTAAACTTAATGAAGCTTACATAGTAGACAAAATTATACAGGAAGCTTTTTTCCGAAAAATTCAATGAAAAGGACTTAAGTTTACTACTTTTAAATGTAAAAGATCTACAAAATATTAAACTGGCATCAAATTTACTCATCCGTACTGCTCCAGAGGTTTAACACACAAGAATAACAATTCACTGTAAGAAAATTTATCACGGCGAAGAAGCAATTCAACATAAAAATTGTATCCGTTAAAAACAATTGGTAGTTATGGATTTTTATTATTCGCGGAAAAAAACTAAAAAATGAAATTTATTGTTACCAGTTTTTACTCCGGTGCGCTGCCAAGATGAGACAATCTAGCGTGACCCACCGCTGGGTCACCCCAGCGTGAACGTGTTAAAATGAAGAATAATTTGATAATTAATTCTTTTACAATAAAATGCCGTAGTAAAGTTTGTGATATTAGTTTTAGTAAAGAAATGATAATAAACTCATTTTTCATATTTGTAAACTCTTTTATTAGCAAACAATGTGCATGTTTCTTTGGAACTTTAACCCTTTAATGCCTAACATTTTTATAAGAGTGTGGTTCTTCTTTTCAAATAAAAAGAAAAGTCACAGTACGACATCATCATTACTATGATTTATTTCAAGTTTAATCTAGCATGGGATATTTTTTTTTATATAAACGTAAGTATTTTGGTCTGAAACTTAATAAACATTGCTCGTTTAAACTTATAGTGTTAGGTAATAGAAATGTTTGCGTGGTATGGAAAATATGTTCATGTACTATCACTTTTTCACGTAGGTGTTTTCATATGAAAACCACTTTCAGAAAAACCACTTGGTCTTCTTAGTTTAAAAATAAAAAAAATGGTCACTCATTTTGACTTCAAGTGAAACAATGCCGGAAATGATACCTAGCTTACTAACGTAAAAATGTGGTTGAAACATAATTAATTATTTTTGTTTCATTTAAACAAGTACCTTATTTTACCGAATTATGTGTAGGGATTTCGAATCGGAAATTAGTTTCATTCCGAAAACTAAGTTCGGAAATACGTTCATAAATTTTTTTGCGCTGATTTTCTAAGAAATTGTATCTAGGGCAGGAATTTAAAATCAAATACCTATAAAAATAGCTCATTTTTAAAAAAACAATTTTAATTTATCAAATAACAATGCATTGAACATACTATTGAAAAAAGGAAAAGCATTTGTAAGATATTGCATTAGCTTTTCTTATCGAGCTTTCCAAGTCAAATTAAAATAACTAGAATGTTAATAAAAAAATATATGTTTCCGTTCTAGAAGTTTTCAACGTTGATAGCAATTCATTTTTTTCATTTCAACGAAAATCATAATTCGGTTCATTTTCAGCTTATGTTAATACACCAAAATCGAATTCATAACAATACTAGATTGAGCTCCAGGACTGTGACGTAATTCATAATACGCATTTTTAATATAAAACGTAATTTAAGATTATTAATGATAAAACAATGAAAAAAGAAATGTAATTCTTCTCGGTACAAAAGAAAACAGTCTTAATACGTTTACAATATGTCTTAATATATGCTTTACTTATAAAGTCTAGCCTTAGCCCCCACCCCTCAAAAAATAAGAACCACTGGCGATTCAATGAAGGAAATTGGACAAAAATTTTAGAGGGTATAATTACGATGTCTCTTGGATTTGACACTCTAACTTGGAGCTTTTACTACGCACGAAATTTTCTATTTTCCCATCATTTTTATCGCGATTTCCTATTTATAGAAATTTTACTTTCAATTCATTTTTGCTGTTTTCTGCCAAAATAAATGAAGCAAACATTGCATTTTACCTACAAAAAATTCATCAGAAATAAAAGCTGTGATTAATAAAATATTTATTTAAAATTTTTTTAAGAAGATCGTCAGATACTTGAGAAAAAAAAATGCTTAAGATTTTTCCCTGGTCGTCGTTTAATTTTTAAGAGTAAAACGGCTTTTCGAACACCTGCTGCAGAAAAACTGCAACTTCTATTATATTTATCAGACTGAAATTCCTCTACCCTCCATTATATTTCCCTTTATTTCGCGTTGCTATGGCAACTGATCATAAATATGCAATTTAATAGCCAGCAATTAAAGCGAATAGTCTACAATAAGGAATTAAAATTCAATACAATCATATAAATTCAATCTTGACTTTCAGCTCTAATAAGAACAATATAAATTTGACTTAATAATCCCCTCCTACTTTTATTTAAGATCCAAATTGCGGCATGTATCTGGCACTTCACAGTTTAAATGCCGATATGAAAATTTTTGAAACATGTCTCTTTTTCAGAATGTTAAAGACGAGTAACTCTAATCTTTCAATCTTAGCATTTACCAACTGGAAAAACCGAATATTCCTAAGAAACAAAATCTATTTATTATTTAAAATTATACATTTTGTGATATACATATCACAAATATATATAATATAACATACATTGTGTGATAAAATTTTTATCTAACTTACATGCAAAGGCACTTTTTCTATTAGTGAAAATAAGAGTCCCACAGGTAAATTGTCAAAGAGTATTAGGTTTTTGTAACTAATACTTAGTTGAAAAGTTTGTAAGCGATACCAAACAAAATTTATACTAACGCATTTCTACTAAAAGGTGTGTTTTAGTTTGCTAAACCAAGCAAGGCTGATTGTTACCCGGAAAAGAGGGGGAAAAAACTAGTAGTGAAACCAACTTAGAACTAAAGTAATAATCTTAAGAAACTGAATCTGTAAGATATTTCAGGATTAAAAACTTCATTCGCTTCAAAAATATATAAATAGGAAATAGTAGTAGACATATTTCTAACGCTCAAAAATAGGCCCCCATTTTCAAGACTTGACAGACGTTAATGAAAAGTAACGAAAGTGATTTGAAATAAATATATATAAAAAAAAAACTTGATAACAAAAATGGAAAAATAAAGGGGAGAAACGAAACTAGACAATAAAAATCAACAATGGTCAAGAGAGAAAAAAGATGGAAAGCGAAACAAGAAAAACTACAAGGCGGGAGGGACGATTGACGACAGTTATTTCCTACTAATATAGTTTGGAAGTGTATGAAGTTTTTAATCAGGTTTTAAACAGCCTATAACGACTTTGATTTCTGGAGTAGCAAATATTCTTAACTAATCAATTATTTATAGATATAATATTCATATTGAACTGCATTTTATCAAAAAAGAAGTAAATAACGGTGGTAGATAGTTTATAATTAAATATGTAAAAGCTTTCTATTTACATTGAACATTTAAAAGTGAAATGGCTGTACCACTAGTTTATTCCTATATGATGGGTGCGTAGCTTATAAGAATAATCTATATTGGGTACGACTCAGTTGGCGAAAATTGCATTTCGCTTTGAAGGAAATCGCCAAGCAACTGTCTTTTTATTCAAACCATTCTGTATTGTTTTGCAAATAATTATTAATAAAAAAATGAGTATTAAAATTAGGGAAGTAATTGAGAATTTTCAATTTTTAGTGAATTAATAGTATATGCAATAAGACAAATATTTTTTTTCATAATTTACAAATGCAGAAAAAGTCTTCTACAGTGTAAAAGTGAAGGGGAAATTAAAATGGAGAATAAATGTATAAATTAAGCACTCTCTGAGGAAGGACAAAGTATAACCACTAAAATTGAAATTCCAGAAGGGAAAGAAATCAAATTTTAGTGTATTGTGCACAAAGAAAAATGGAACACCCTGAAAATAAATTTTGATTTAATAATCGGATGTTTATCTTCTAGGACTCGATCTTATTGGTTCCAGGGTGAAAACCTCAAATATGCTAATTAATTACAGCAGACGATAATTTGAGTTTTGAAATCAGACATTAAAACGCACTTAGTCTGAATAAATATAATTTTTTTTTTTTTTTTTTTAACGAATTCGAATTTTTGACCCCAAACTGTAGGGGGTAGCAGCAATGTGGGACATTTAGTCTCTTGCCATGTAAAACTAGACACTATAAAATTATTTACAAAATTATTGTACCTTAGAACACAAAAGTTTTACGACTGTTATTAAATAAATTCTTCGACGGATTCGGATTTTTGACTCTCGTATGCGTTAGAGGGAGAAATAGTTTCTTCTTGAATAACAGTAATTATATATTCACAAAAGTTAATTAATTAATTAATAAGTAAAAGTCACTAGTTTAAGATGCAATCTTTCTTTCAAAAACTATTAAACAGTTCAAATTTTGTTCGATTTCGTTAAAATTTTATATTTTCTCATTTAACCTTTTCCTCACCGCTGATACAGCATGTTGACCATGGATGATGATAGAACATTTATGTTCACTGTAAGCAAAGGGTTAAAATTGCATTCTTTAAAATGACGTAAGAATTTGTGTACCTTAAATTTCATAATTTTTCAGCTATTTATTATAGAAATAATAATAATAAACAAATATTTAAACTAATTTTTGCATGAAATTATGTTTTGCAGAGCGAATTTCAAAATTATCCGCAAATTTTTTTAAAATTCACTTCAAAAGTTTTCAAGTTATAGTGATTGAGTCTCAGTTTGTAAAATTCCTATCATCAGATTAAAACTTATTCAGAAAGTTCCCTTTTTTGTGCACTGTAGGCTTTAATAATATAATCCTGAAAGATAGAAAATGATCATTAAATATTCTTGCTATTATTTCATAGATTCTTAAATGCTTTGCATTGAATAACATTGTTTTAATAAGTAAAAATCATCTTTTTAAAATTATTTTAAAAAAACTTTCGTTTAAATCATATAAAAATTGAACTATTTTATTGTTGTTATTTGAAACCAATACAAAATATACATTGCTTTCATATAAAAATATCAGAGAAGTTAAAAGCGATTAAGTAGACATTTAATACCGATATTAAATTCAAAATATGCGCACGTGACATTCAAGTCAAACTCTTACAAAATAATATTCCTCTTAAGATCTCTTTTTTAAATTTGAATATTGTTCCTATAAACATCGAAGATTAATTATCATTCATTGTATTTAACTAAGTCATTGAATATAAGTGAACTGATTATATTTATGTAAATCATCTTATACATTTTACTTATCACAAATTACCAGTGCAAATTCCATTAAGTAAATCATGCCCGCAACAGCCAATTTCGTCAGACAAGACGGTCATAAAGGTTAAAAATGTTTATTAAAGTAAGGTATTATCGCAATATCCCGCAGTGGGCTAGAGCATCACCTCCTACATCAGAAAGGCTCAACACGTTATTTTAAAAGTAGCCTGCGTAGACTATTTAAAAAGTGAATCAGTTGAGCGCATGAACCCATATTCTATTTTAAAAGTAATTGAGAGACATTTATCATGTATATTTGAGAATTGAATCTGTATTTTTTGACAAGTAAATAAGACAAAACAATAATATTCATAAATTTAAAAAAAATAAATTAGAATGCATTTGCTACCATTTTTTATTTTTACTAGATTTTACACAAAATTTCTCTTTTTAAAACGGGTTTATTTTCATAGTGCTCTGATCGGACTACCCATAAGAAACAGTGCGGAGGCTTTCAGTTATAGGAGACGTTGGTTAGAGGGGGGGGG